GGGATCTCAAACCGGACAACATATTGTGGACACATCCGAGTGATGGCAACACCCGGAGCCGGTATTTTAAACTATGTGACTTTGGTTTAGCCAAATTGCACGACAGCGCGTTGATTAAGCACTCGGCCGGTGTGGGCACACCTGTATATATGGCACCTGAAATTAACCTAGGTGTTAAATACACCGGCAAAGTTGATGTGTTTAGTTTGGGTATCGCCGCACACGAACTGTTTTGTTTGGACCCTGATGAGTAAATATACTATTATAACCATGTTACTTAATATATAAAATAACTAATCATCATTAATTACTTTCAGTGTAAACGATATGGATGTCTACTCTAACCATGTATTTCATAAAAATATAATAAAATTGGAGCAATTGTTGGCATCGATGGTCGATATGAAGCCCCACAGGAGACCCGATTGTAGGCAAGTATTGGATGCCCAGAACGAATGGTCGGTTGATAGCCGGTGCCTGACATTTGATCCCAAGTATAACTCGGAATTGAATGTCATTAAACAAAATGATCACAAGTTTTTCTACGAGTATTATTGCGCTAGAATTTGATGGAAAGCTATAAACTGGCCGTACATTTAGCCCGCATTTTCTAACGATACTTACCGTGTGGTTATAAAACGATGTCATTTTGTGGCAATTAATTATTAATTATTTAGTTTTATTGCAGAAAAATTTATAATTAATAAAAATTGTTTATTAAAATAGTGTAAAAATAATGTAAACACAATTCTTAAGAAATGAATAGACATTTATTGAATAAATTGCATTTCACTGTAAATTACATTTACCTTATAATCACTTATATAATAGAAGGTGTAAAAGGTTTCAAAATTATTATGTTCAATTATAGCAAAATGATTACAAAATTAATAATACATTCAATACTAATAGTGTATTATTGTGTGCCGTCGGCGGTGACGGCCATAGCGGACGCAAAACGTGCGCCAAATGTGATATTGTTTGTGGCGGACGACATGGGTTGGGCTGACGTGGGCTATCACTCCGACCACATTCTCACCCCTAATATCGATAGTCTGGCCGCCGATGGAGTCGTACTCAACCACTTCTACGCCCAACCCATATGTAGCCCGAGTAGGGGTGCGCTCCTGACAGCCGTACATCCCATACATCTGGGCCTTCAAAACGCTATCATTTACACCGAATCGCCGACTGGCCTACCATTGGAGCGCAATATATGGCCCCAATATCTCAAACAACGTGACAATTATGCCACACATATTGTCGGTAATAAATAAAATAAACTTTGTTATATTCAAAAAACATACTTCATATACAATCATAAAATAAATCAAAAATTAGTTATACTATAATTACTAAATACTGTATATCAACATAAATCTAGTTAACAAGGTGTATAAATTTGTTTGTTTAATACATTGGTGTTTCCAAAACCAGGCAAATGGCATCAGGGCTTTGCCCGCCGCGAGTATACCCCCACCTACAGGGGCTTTGACTCGCACGTGGGCTTCTGGTCGATGGCCATCGGGTATTACGATCACCAAAACTGTCAGTCGGGCGGCAACTGTGGCCTCGATTTTCACCACAATATGGATGTCATAACAAACGCGTCGGACATCTATTCAACGCGTTATTTCACCGATCGATGCGTTCATATAATCGGTTTGTTTTTTTTGTCGGTGAAAATTATTATCATATAAGTTATCACATATTACTTATTACAGACCAACACAACACATCGCAACCCCTATTCCTATACGTGCCCTATCAAGCGGTTCAGACACCGTTTGTACCCATACGGGAGCGCATGGATCTCTTCCCATACATCCGGTCACCCGAACGCCGAGTGTTGGCCGCAATGGCCTATAGTATGGACGAGTCTATCGGCACTATTATGGAGGCCCTCCATAGCAAGCATATGCTCGACAACAGTATTGTTATATTCATTAGCGATAACGGGGGCCACCCTTTCGAGCATAGTATTAATACTGTTAAAATGACATCATGTTAGATTATTATAATAATTGTTTATTATTGAATTATTATTAGACAAGTGGACACGAAGCGCGACGAGTGGTCCTAGAGCAAATGATGGTCAGAATCGACCGCTAAGGGGTGGAAAGTTTTTGCTTTACGAAGGAGGTTTGTAAATGTGCCCTAATATTTTGTACAACATAGATTTAATCGACGTGTAATTGTGTGAGACTACATTATTACACATGGTTATAAAAGTTAATATTACATAAAATAATAATGCAAATTACACTTTATGTTTACACTCGCAGTTTAATAACAAGTATTTTTGTGTTTATATATTATGTAAGGCATACGAGTGCCGGCACTTGTGTGGAGTCCATTGCTTAACAAAAGTGGTTACGTATCGCAAGCTTTGGTTCACATCACAGATCTCTTGCCAACAGTTTTGGAAGCTATCGATGGCACGAGACTTAATGATGATGATCATCAAAGTTATATTTACGGTACATTTTATTATTCTATATTAAGTTACTTATAAGCAACATCTTGTTTAACTAACTTTGTTGCGATTAAAATTAATATTCAATATTTTATAATCAAACACATACATTGAAAAAAAAAACAATAATTATTATTATTAAAAGCAAGTTAGCCCTATGAGAACATGTTATATCATTATCTTTATACCAAGATAGGTTTTTGGTATGGTTTTAAATGTTTAATTTATAATGAAAACTACACATTAAATCAATACAATTAATTTGCCCCTAAAATTAATATCTTATGCTGAATTACACCATATAATTAGGTGTTTCCCAATGGAAAGTGCTATCAAATAATGAACGGCCCGTTCGGTGGGAAATACAACACAATGTGGACAACATTCAGAATTCATCGGCCATTCGATGGCATGACTGGAAACTAATCCAAACGAGTAAACCCTTCGGACAGTCGCCGGCGGATTACAACCACTTTCCCATCGATATCGGCCCCCATTCGCGGCCAACGGTTCAACACAACGACCGCTTGAATAGCAAAACGTATCGCATTTTGCGTCAAATGAATCGCCGACCGGACTATACAGTGTTGAGCTCAGCGGTGGTCGAGTGTCAACCGGTGCCCGACTCACACCACCCGCCGGAATGTATGTCCGATTACTGTCTGTTTAACGTACGGCACGACCCGTGCGAACAGCACAACCTCATCGGCCAAACGGACCGTCGATTTGTGCAATTCCTGCGCCAAAAAATGGTTACGTTTGACACGACTTCTGTTCCGCCGCTAAGTCTGGTCCCAAACGACCCGAAATCCAATCCCAAGCTCTATAACAATACATATGTTAATTGGTTAGACTACTATCAAAATGAGCATGGCCAGTTTGTCACTGATTAAAAATTATTTATAGACAATATAAATATTTAACTTTTGGGAAATTAATATATTGTGCAATTAGTATATTTTGCTATCAAATATTGACTACCTTTATAATGTCACAATTACATTGCAATAAGTAGTGTAAAGTAAAATTGACTCACTACTACATTGTACATTGCTAAAACTTTAAATAATAATAATTACTATTTTCATATTATTTTTGTAGTATCATAAACCAATAAAAAAACATTTTTTATATGTTGTCTTATATATTTTAATATTGTAATAAATAATGTTAATAAATTATTATTCATTTTAAACTATAATAATCCTAAATTGTTAGTATTTATACGTAGAAGTTGTTATAAAAATTATTATTAATAAATATAAATTATAATTTTGCTGCAATAAATATGGTTGATTGTTAAAAAATTCAACTGGATATCATTGAGTTTATTATTGACCATTATTCTATGCATTACAACTTTAATTGCGGTAAATAGTGATTACTTGGATTTATTTTAAATGTTTTGCCTCAGACATAAGATAAACAAACATAATGATAATGCTACTTTAATAATAAATATAATTTTGAAAATACAGAAACTTGTTATGTAGAGACCAAATGGGGTGACAGTTATGGCTCTACTTTCTGGCGACTCGATATGATGGCGCAGTATTTGAGCGCCGAGTAGTCGCGAGATTGTGGTGACAGTACTTAAAGCGCGATTTAAGCGCAGAGTTAGTCACCGAAATACTTACTATTATGGCCGTCAAGGCTGTCCTACGTCCCGCTGCCTTAATCTGGATCTCCCGATCGGTCCCTGTCTACAGTAAACAATATGTAGACCAAGACAAACAAAAACAAGAGACGGAGTCTAATGCTAAAGAACTTTATTGATTAAGGACAGGAGTAGAACTGAGCTATCCCATAGCTCAGCACTCTCCAAGTAAACTCTACAGTGAGTAATCAATTATGTTAAGGGCTCCTTTGATTGGAGCAACAAATCGAAAGGTATTGAATATAGTCATCACCCCATAGGTGTGACCAATTAATTGAAAGACAAGTAATGACTTATAATAATAGGAATACAAATAGTAATTAGTAATACAAATGAATCATTAATAGAGAAAATACAAAAATAAATTTTAGCCCTGAAGCACCTTAAAGGCGAGACAAGGAGTGGCGCTACTTTCGAGTGCGTCACTTTTGGGACTCCACGACAAACTTATGTTTTCAACAACAGTTATCAGTAATGTCATTAATACAAATGTTATCCCTATTTGTTATAACATTTAACATACAATACCTGTGGTATTTGGCGGCGGCTGTTGTGGTCGTTTTGATCACGCACAATTATATGTGAGTATTATACATTGCTAAAATTAAATATTATATTTGTCGTTTGGGTTTAATTATAGCAAATGGTATCGTATATTAAATTACTGGTCGGTTCGCAATATTACGGGTCCGAAACCCATACCATATTTTGGCAATATTTTAAGCCCTGTCCTAAAAGGGAAGGAATGCGTTGAAACGGAGTGGTATAGAACTTACGGCCAACTCTATGGGTAAATAATTTAAATAAGATGTGCAGTATTTGTAATAGTTTTGAAAAAACTTTATGATATCGTAAACATCGTATAGAGTGTATGAGTTTGGAAAACCGGGTCTACGGGTGGCGGACCCGGTGCTCATCAAACAAATTCTGGTGAAAGAGTTTTACAAATTCCGTAACCGTAAGGAAGGCGGCGACAGAATTGCCGTTTTTAAAAACACACTCATCAGAGCCACTGGCGATGACTGGAAACGGATCCGAGCCATAGCCAGTCCCGCATTCACTTCGGCTAAACTCAAACACATGTATCCACTCATCAACGAGTGTTGCCGTGACTTCTTGGCCGCACTCGACAGAGACGTGTCCACCGGTCGGACGGAAGTCGAGTTAAAGCAATTGATGGGCGCCTTTACTATGGATGTGATCGCCAGCACAGCGTTCGCCACCAAAACTAATCCCTATTCAAACCCAAACAATCCGTTTACCTCTAAATGCAAAGCACTGTTTCATGAGAGACCGTTAATGATCTTATTGTCACTTATATTACCGACATTTATTACAAATAAACATCTATGGAAAGTCATGGTAAAGGATCCGGATCTTAATTCCAAGTTTTTTTTCGACATTTCCCGCGATTTGATACGTGAGCGCAAAAAGTCGGGCAAAAAATACAATGATTTTTTGCAATTACTTATGGATGTGGAGAGAGTCGACAACAACACGACGACTACGGGTGCGGACTCTGTGGCCAGCGATGCACTGGAAGGACATCACGTGAACGAAGGCGTCGACGAACTGATGGCAGAGAAACAGGCGTTGAGTGGAGTCGTGGAGAAGAAGTTAACTACAGATGAAATACTCNAACACGACGACTACGGGTGCGGACTCTGTGGCCAGCGATGCACTGGAAGGACATCACGTGAACGAAGGCGTCGACGAACTGATGGCAGAGAAACAGGCGTTGAGTGGAGTCGTGGAGAAGAAGTTAACTACAGATGAAATACTCGCCCAATGTTTCCTATTCTTTGCCGTCGGTTATGAGACGACGGCCACAACTCTGTCGTATTGTGTCTATGAATTGGCACTCAATCCCGATATTCAGGACCTGTTGGTGGCGGAGACCAAAGAGGCGTTCAATGAAAACACGACAGACATAGACTACGAAACCCTTAGCCGACTCCCACTCCTCGACGCCGTTATATCAGAAACTCTTCGCAAATATCCACCAGTAATGAGAGTGGAGAGGGAGGCCGTAGAGGACGTAGTTCTGACATATGGTAGCAATGGATCAACAATTAAGATTGAAAAAGGAGTTCCGCTAGAGATCCCGGTGTATGCCATACATCACAACCCGGACTACTATCCCGACCCCGAGGCCTTCAAACCCGACCGGTTTTTGCCCCAAAATTGTCATCACATCAAACCCTATACATACCTACCATTCAGCGCCGGACCCCGTAATTGTATTGGTATGCGCTTTGCGATGCTCGAGGCTAAATTGTGCCTGGGCAAATTAATTCAACAATTTCGCTTTTATCGGGTGCCCTCCACTGATGTGCCCGTTATTTTCATTGCTACAGATATTCTTCTGCGTCCAAAGCGGCTTATTGTGGGCGTTGAGAAACGTTATCCAATAAAAAGTTTCAAGTTAAAAATATAGTTCATTGTAGTTTGTGTGGGAAATAGAAGTTTGAGTTTTAAACAAGGTAATAGTAACTTTTTTCGTGGTTTTATATATTTTTGTATTTTATAATTATTTAATTTGACTATAATTTAGTTAATTAATTGCTTTATAAAATTAGATATCGTACCTACCGCGATTTGTGTTACTATAACATTTCTATTAATTTACATTATTCTATACAATTTAATTACTATACATTGTACTAATAAATTATACATTACCACTTTATTAAAAATTTTGTGCTGTTACACATCAATTTGCCAGAAAATAATTGTAGTAATTAAAAACAATTAGAATTAAAATTACTATTTATAAAAATATTACATAATTTGATAATAGTTTGAGTTATAGATGATATCGAGTTACAAAAGGTTCAAGATATAGAAAATCTATTGTAAAGTTACATTTAACAATAATTAATGATACAATATAAGATTATATAATACTAATGACAATCAAAGTGCCCTTGTTAATACTCACCAAACCTAAACATAATTAACTACAATGTATAAAAATTCAAATTATACCAATAGAAAGTTAAAAATTTAAAAAAAAATAAATATTGTTATTGTCTACTAATTGACAATTATTGTCCGACACCATAAATATATCATTAAATTAAATATCCATAAATTAAGCATGATAAACAACCATCTGACCACCAGCCTTCTTTCTCATAATGATGAGTCGCAGGTACACCACATTGAGTGTAACCAACACAACACCAGCCATTCCGGCCCGACTCTGACCAATCGCAAAGTTTGTTACCGTCTCGATGCTGGTCAGCACAATCATAACGATCATTATGATACCAGACTCATTGGCCACGCCTACCACTGCCATAACGCACATCAGACCGCAAAATATATAGGTAACCAGCATTACGGTCACTATTATCATGATGATTATATGGATGGAATTAAACATGGTAAGTTATAAAAAGATATTATAAGTCTTATAAGCATTGCTACAAAACTTACTTTGTGTTTTATAGTTTTGATCACTGGTGATGGCCATTGCCATACGGGCGCAGATGATTACAATGGCAACGCTACCAATGATGGCCACCACATACAGGGCTATCAAAAGACCCTTCAGTAATTTAAGTGTTGTGTTGTATTTAAATGGCATTATAATTAACTGTTGATAATTAATAATATTTTAATTGTTTTTGTACAGTATAATATTGTTTTGTTACTGTGGTTATGATACCATTGAAAGAAACCTGATCAGTATATTTGACAACTTTATATCAATGTAACATGAATACTTTTTGTATGTGGTAATGTATTAAAATTTAATACATTTAATGCAATAAAAGTTAACAATTAATTTATGCAGTTATGACATGTAAAATACGATTGTATTAATATTGAATAGTAACATGGTATGATGACATTAATAATTATAAAAATGGACAAAGTTCTACTTATTAATTTACATTTGTAAAATAATAGTATTGTTTAAACTAAACATTTTTTAACCTGTTATGTAAATTAGTTAAAAATCATTAGACAATGGCTATAAAAATAATTAAAAATTAAATCAAACAAAACATACATACAATCAATATTTAAAAAATTAACCACAACATTTATTAAAGCAAGTAAACATAAATCAAGCCCTGGTAGCGCCAACCGCTTTATTTTTCTGAATGATCATGTACAAATAAACTGCCGTTACCGCAGCGACTACTATATTCCATATAGCCATCACAAACATCATGGTGACAAAGTTGCTTATAATAGCTACGATGGTCACTACGAGTAAAACAATCACGATCCATTTGTTTTCCTTAATAACACCCACCAGACCAATGATGCCCACCAATAGCCCTAACACCGCCAGAACCAATCCGATTATCACTATATGATTAAGGTGATAAAATTATACATTATTAATAATTTTATATTATATTTATAATAATACTTAAAGTTTAAAACTACCTTTCTGTTTATCAATTGTATATCCATTAGGGTCGGTGTCGTTGCCGCCCAACTCAATACCCAACGCAACTATTTTGTATATACAGAAAATGTTGGCCAATACGATGTGTACAGACATCGCTATCTTAAGGGTTGTCAACGTTTTTTGGTTACTAAACGCCATTATTATCACCAAAAATATGCAATTAACTAATGATATCTCTCTCCTGATTGACTAATATTGTTCACTATCTGTATCAATACCAACACTAATAGTGTTATGATAATAATAATACATCTATTTAAATGTGAATTAGATGTATGTAAAAGCTCTAATCAAGGACTGGTAGGCCTCTGGGTGTTTGTGCCGGATGTAACAATTGACAAATGCCTTGAAATAGTTGATTCAATAATAGCCACCACTTACAGTATTTATATCTATGTAATAACAATTAGCTGTAACAGTATAAATGCCCTATGTTAATTTTGCCGAGTATTATACAAAGAACACTTTCTATGCTAGAATTTAAAGTGATCATGATTTATTTTTATTTAAATATTTTTAATTAAATGATTTCTAATTATGGTAAATTCAAGTGTAAATTATTTGATTTTACAATTTTTAAAACATTTAAGTATATGAATTAAATTTTAAAAAGTTGCTTTAATAAACTTACTCATTGTATTTGTAAATAATGACAATAATTTAACAATAAAGCATTTTTCTCAATGAAATTATTTTTACAATTAGTCCATAGATTAATAACAATTAACAAAATTTAATCAAAGTATTTCATTATTTATAAAATTTAATTTTATAAATTCGCTACTAAATTAATAAGGTCAAACCAACCTCTGATTGTAATTAATTAAGCTAAAATAATTTAATTACATGCAGTATTTATAAAAAAAAAATATTTGTTTTATAACAATAATTACCATTATGTAAACCCGAACAACTAATATGCAATAATTATTATATAAACAAAACAAAAAATAGATTTTAGTAAATCTAGTAGTATCACAACATTACCAAAATAAACATCACATTTAATTATACATCAGTAAAGTCAGTCTCCTTTTCTTTCTGAATGATCAAGTACAAATACACTGCCGTAACCGCAGCCACCACAATACCCCATACGGCTGACACAAACATCACCATGGCAAAGTTAGCTATAATAGCCGCGATGGTCACCACCAGCAACATGATCACGATACATTTGCTTTCCCGAATAACACCCACCAGACCAATAATGCCTACCAATAGCCCAACCACCGTGATGACCAGGCCAATTGTCACTGTATTATCAAGGTGTGTAATATACATTTTAAATAAAATTATTTATTAAATTACCTTTCTGTTTATCAACAGTGTTTGCATCTGGGCCAGTTTCGTTGCCGCCCAACGCCATACCCCACACCACTATTATATAAATACAGTATATGTTGGCTAAAGTCATGTGAATAGACATCACTATCTTGAGTATTGTCAACAGTTTTTGATTACTAAACGCCATTATTATCGCTGACAATATAATTAACAATAAATATATCTCCTATGGAGTAATAGCCGAGTATTTATGTCAATACAGACACTAATACGGCGTATATTTACCGTCACTGTTATTATATGTTGTGATGATAATAATATACAAGTATGTAGTAATTAAATGTTGTTAAATGAGTTGCATATCAAAACAAATATCAAGGTCTGGAAGTTCTCCAATGTTTGTCTCTCTAATAATTGTTGAAATCCTTGAACGTTAATCCAATACAATAGCCATCCCATACACACTAATGTTTTTACATGTTAGTTAATTAAAAAGTTGTTTTATTTAAACTACATTATAATTAATGTTTATTAAAGTTACATATACACAATTAATTTTTAACAGAAAAACAATATTTACAATTATTTCTAAGACATGCAATTTGCATTATTATTAATACATTATAAGATATTTTACAAACAACAAAAACAACCCATAGTAAAACTTACAAACTACTCAAAATAAGTGTAATTTACAATATATTAGTAATATGACATTATATTAAGTCAGGCTCTCGTAGTTTGCCCAATCTCGTTTGCTTTAATGATGATCAAGTACAAATACACAGCGGTGAGCACAGCACAAACGATAGCCCAATAAGCAGACCAAAACTCGCCAATGACCAGGTTTGCTATAATACCGATGATAATGACCGACACAAGCAAAATGGCCACGGTCAATATGTTTTCTTTGATGATACCCACAAGACCTACAATTGATATTAATAGACCTAACACAGCGATAATCAACGCGGGTTTTGCTATAAATAAACATTTAATTTAGTTAATTTATCATGATAACTTTATACTTTATCATTAGTTATATAACAAACTTATAAAACTTTAGCTTAAAACTATTAGCGACCAAAAAATCTATATTAATATTGTAGTATACTTTAAGCATGATATTTTATTTATTTATTGTTGTGGGCAAAAAATAGTATATTATATAATATATAATATTACCATGCTCTTTATTATTATAAATTTGGTTGACCTCCTTTAACGCCATATCACTGAACACTATCAGTACAATACAACCAATGATTGCCAACACATACAGAACTTCCAGACCGATCTTCACCGCTGTTAATGTCTTTTGTCTATTGAATGCCATTATTATCACCGAATAATTAAAAGTTACGGTAAAGTTGCGTATCCTATGGCTTGATTTGTATCAATACAACACACAATATGCAACGTATATTTACTGTACAGATATTATATTGTCTATAATACAGAAATTTAATTGCGAATGAGTTACAAATAAAAACTAATATCACATTCAGGTATGTTTTGTGAAGGATTTAATTGTTGAATGCCGTATATAGTAATCGCATCCCAATTGCTTATGTTGTACTCGCCTACACTTTTTTTTGCAAAATACATCAAAATCTGCTTTAAATCTATTATTAATTGCAATTCAATTAGAAAAATTATAGTTTATAGAATCGATACACAACCCCTCTCCCCCTCTAACAAAATAAAATAATGTTGCCAGTAAAATAGTGTAAAATAAAATAAAGCAGTGAAATAGTGTCGTAAGTAAAATAGTGTTGCCAGAAGTTCCCGGTTGACCTGCGGGGGTCTAACCTTGATATTGATAGCTCAAGGAATTGCGTTAAAATATACACTTATAGTCTGAAAAGTTCATATAATGTTAAAGAATTATTAATGTTGAAACCCTTGAAATCTTAATCCAATACAATAATTACAATTATACTTACAATGCAATTAATGATAATATACTGTATCTAATTATGTAATACAGTATCAATAGCCTGTGCAAATGGTACAGACTATAAAACAACAACCATATTATTATTAGATACAAGAGCATGATGATAGTTTCGTACAGGTATGAATTTATTATTAAGTCATCACTGTATTAAATGGTTATAGAGTAAAATATTTTTAATTAAATAGTCAATTTTTTAACTGTATTATTTTATAAATTATAATAGATTTATTAATATTGTATTATAAGTGCAGTTAAATTATGTGGTTTTAGCAAAGGGTATTTTGATTAACAAAAAGGACTTTTAGGGCTATCGTACACTTTTAATGATCATTATTTGATTAACCATATTATACACAGCACTGTTATTTTGTACCATGGTACTTTATGTTTATAGTCCTTTTATACACACTCTTTGAGCTCATATGAATCAACCGGTTTGATTTTAGGCTTAATCGTAGACTCTAATGCTAAAACTTATGCATTAAACTTATTGTTAAATATCTAATTATATTGTTAGCATTTTATATAAAAATTAGTTTAATGTCATAAACAATTGTTTATTTGCATAAAAATACGTTTTTACATTTTAAAAATCTGATTTAATTGTGTTTAAATGTTTATCACAACGTTTTAAAATCAACGCTAGACCAAGACAAAACTTAACTTGAATGTTTGAATATAATGTAATAATTGGGTTTTAACATTAGTCCTTATGACTAAGCCTGATACCATTCCGGTTAATTCATATTTGATACACACTCTCATTGATAGCCCTTTTGTATTGCAATACATTGACAGCTGTTTTACACACTTTGCTAAAAACACATAATTTAACTGCACTTATAATACAATTTTAATAAATCTATTATAATGGATAAAATAAACTCATTGATAGCCCTTTTGTATTGCAATACATTGACAGCTGTTTTACACACTCTTATAATTTAAACTTAAATCTAGTCTTAAATCTATGCAAACATTTTTTACAACTTTGTAAATATACACATGAAGTTTGTTTCAATTATTTTATTATAGTTTTTATATTATTTTATTGCTTTGATTTTTTTTATAAATCTTATAAAGAAATAATTGATTTATTATTAAAAATAAACATTTTAATATAGATTTGAAATCATTTTTGTTTGATTATACATTTAATTTAAATTAACGTTAATTTAAATGTTCAATTAGAACATTAATTAACATAAACTATTGAAATTAAACTAGTGTAACCTATAATTATTAAATTATTAAAATAATTTATTGTATAATTTTTTACTAATCATTTAAAGTTTAAATTTTCAACATCTTTATTGAATAAACATTTTATTTTTGTACATTTCATTATATAAAATATTATTATAAATTATAATAATTTATTGTAATCATCATAATAGCACAATAGCTTGTGACCATGAGCGAAAATTAATTTATAAAATTACATGTACAAAATAAAAGCAATTGTTATTAAAAACAGACATTATGTAAAAGGCGTATAATTTATATAATAATTAATATAAAAGCAGCAAAATATAAATCCAGACAAAACAATCAATAAAAATCAGCATATTAAAACAAATATTAAATTAAGCTCCTTTAGGAGCTTCTGTAGGGCCTGTCTCCTTATCTTTCTGAATGATCAAGTACAAATAAATGGCTGTCAACACAGCGCACACTATACCCCATAGGGCGGACCCAAACTCTTTGTAGACAAAGTTTGATATAATACCGATGACGACCAGCACCAGCAAAACGATCACGATGCATTTGTTTTCCTTGACAATGCCCACCAAACCCACGATAGATATTACTAACCCTAACGCCGCGATGACCAGTGCGGCGGTCACTGTATAAACAATTACAATAAATAAATATGTTAAATTATCACGCTTAAAAATTTTATATTTCACCAACCATTACATAACAGTGTATACCTGTTATCCAATTTTACATAGATATTTATATACTCTGTGTAATTTTTTATAATACATACTGTGTGTATAAATATTTAATAAAATTACCTTGGTCTTTATTAATATTGTTTTCCTGTCGGTCCTTATCGCTGGCGGCCAACGCTATACCGCAAACCACTATCAAAAATATACAGCCAATGATTGCCAACACATACAGCACTTCCAGACCGATCTTCACCGCTGTTAATGTCTTTTGATTACTGAACGCCATTATTATCACTGATAAAAATTATATGCAACGGTAAAGTTTTATCCTTTGGTCTAATAGCAAAGTATTTGCATCAATATAACACACAATATCGCCCCTTATATTATTATTATCGCCTATTATTATTAGATAATAATAATTATAAAATACAAATTTAAATATGAATGAGTTTTACATAAATGCCAAGATCAAGGACTGGTAGGTCTGTGTGTCTATGTGTTTGTGAGTTGGATATAATTGTTGAATGCCTTGAAAAATGCTCAGCACTGGTATGTAATTACATATTCTGTGCTAACGGTGTGCTAACACATGTGCGCGCATAATGTTTTACGCGGCCGGTAATCAATATATGCATCAAAATATCTGCTTTTATGAATAATTTCTATTTATAAGTCCGCTTTTAGACCTTGTTTTTATTAGTTTCTGGTTTTTATAGCTCTCTCTCTCTCTCTCTCTCTCTCTCTCGAGTCTCTCTCCCCTCTATGTCTATTATCAGACATTCTTATTCCTCATAGCATTCATTGAAAATGAGAGAAAAATATAGTTTTAATATGTCTTTGAGAAACAAAAGCCGAAAGGAAATCACTGATAATAAGCACAACTCATGGTTTCATTCATATTCTTCCACATCTATGTTTGGCATTACGTCTGGCATTCAATATATTTTAATTCGTGTGTATTTAAACTACAAATATTATTTAAATTTAGGTCTTATAAATTCTGTTATAAATAATTTATTACGAGAGAGCGAGAGAGAGAGAGAGAGAGAGAGAGAGAGAATGACTTCTGCCGTCTTTAGCAAAGAATAAGTTGAAGATAGAGAACAGAGAGACAAAAATGAAAAACGCAAGAAAAATGAACAAAAAATATATTAATAATTATTTCAAAGCACGTCTTCGAAGATGAGTGAGAGAGCAACGGAAAAGTGATGAGAGAGAGAGAGAGAGAGAGAGAATGGCATTGATGGAGAAAATAAAACGATAAAATTCATATATAATGGCTGTACTGGTTATATATGGTGTGGAAAGTGAACGACACACACAAATAGGCCAAATCAACACAACTGTTTGCATAAGAGTTGTGATAGTTTTGCATCACTTTTTTGTACTTATTTTTTATTAATATGCTTGTGGTTAATGTGGTGAACAAAGTGACAACAAAACCTGATAAAGTGGCTCCGAGTGGACAAACTAACCATACCTTTAGATTAGTTTAGTTTTGTAGTCAAACAGAATATAGCGGATAATTAATCAATATTCAAAATACAATAAATATCTAGTCGTGATAAATGAGGTAATTATCAAAATAATTAAACATTTCATCAAAACCCCTGCTTATTGTCAACCATTTCGTGAATACAGGCTATAAAGTAACAATTATTTTTCCCCATTTCATTTGATGTCATTAATAGCACCTAATTGTTGACACAATAACTGTATTATTCTTACATAACTATTACCTTAATATATAATAATATCGTAATAATAATAAAGAGTGGAAATTTATTTGCAAAAAACTACACATAAATTATTTACACGATGTATGAAATTGGAGAGACATATATGGCTGGGAATCGCGTATCGATTATGACTGAAATGATAATTTTCTTCAATAAATAATACGTTGAATATAACGAATATAGCGTTAAAGTTATAAAATGGTAAAACTATTGATTGAGGAAAATGACAGTAAATTACATGTAAAACAGATGAGAGAAATATGAGTCCGAGTGTTGTGTCTGTCATTATTTCTCTCTCAAAATAAGCTCCAAATTTTTAATGTCAAATGTTTTAATAGATTGTCGACAATTGAGAGAGAGAGAGAGAGAGAGAGAGAGAGAGAAGTTTGTATTGGGGCGATAATGGAGAGATTTAGAGCTAACGCTTAAAAGATGGATATATTTCGTTATATAAGTATTATTTAAAGTAATTTATGGCATTATATTTACATTGGTTTCCAAAAATTGAGTCCGACATCAAAAGTGTTAATTTGTGCGAAACCAAAGTTGTGTAGATTTTTATAAATTATATATTATCTTAAACTGTTGTAAAGAAAGACTTGTCGCCCGTTTTTGTCGCTTATGTTCTGATTAATAATTGTTGTGAACGAAAGAAATACAGTAAAAGCACTTATTCTTCGTAATTAATTGCAAATAATAAGCAATAAAAGTAAACTTCAATTATTTTCAATATATCATACATTACAGCGCTTTACAGCCATAGATAATCATTGGATGGATAGTAAAGGAAATGTTGAGAGAGAGAGAGAGAGACTCTATTTTCTTAACTTTATTAATATCTCTCAATGTTTTCACATCTGATTTAATGTATTGATTCATTCCTTGCAATCAGTTTTCGCTGAATTCAACAAATTCTATACAATAAGTCAAATAGAGATCAAAAGCAATATATTTATTGGTAGGCATTGGAAGGGCTGACCATTAATTTGAAACCGCAATAAGAGATAACATACGATAAATCAAACGTTACATTCAAAAAACAAGAGACGCTCAAAATAATTGCCTCATTTTCCTTCACTTAATGCCTTTTATATTAACTCTGATTTTAATAATTAATTCTCTAATATATACACAACTAAAATAAAATGAATCAATAATATGAGCAAAAATTGGATATAAAATTAAGTTATAATCAATTATAATAAGATTAATGAATCAAATTCATGCTCTCTTATAAGAGAATGAGAGAGAGAGAGAGAGAGAGAGATTTTAAAGACAAAGTGGTCTAATATTATACACAATTGCTTTAAAAATCATTATTCATTTCGTGTTTTTACAGTAAAAAGAGATTTTTAGTATTTTTAAAAACATTTCTCCAACTCATAAAACAAAACAATTTTCGTGTTTCATATATAAAATAGTGACTGAAATTGTTTGAAATATTACGGTAATAGTTTGTATAAAAAAGATCACAAAATGTGTTGAGAGATGAGAGGAAGAAGAAGAGTGAGTGAAAATTTCCATTAAATTTATGTGTTTTTCTTCTCTGATTCGCATTCGTTTAAAGTGTGTGAATCTCTATCTAAACCAAATGATTGCTACCTTCACAGTCTACTCAATCATTTAATTTAGTAATTAATTAAATATTTCAGTTTATATTAAGTTGAGATAAAAAATATTTCATTAAACTTATGATTAAACTTTATATTCAAGTTATGTCGACCACTATTTTCTTGAGTAAATATATCGTCAGTATATCACTTAAAACGAGAGAAAAAGACAAGTAAAACCAAATATGCGAAACACTTTAATGAGAATTAACTCAATAGAAAATCAATAGAAAGCATAAAATGTTTTATTCATTATTTAATGGAAAATATTTGTGAATAGTATTGACATTTTAAAAACATTTTCAATTTTCTTCATTCACTTCCGTTTTTATTGCACTTTTAGGACAAATCCGATCCGTTCTCTCTCTCTCTCTCTCTCTCTCATTCTCTTATAAGAGAGCATGAATTTGATTCATTAATCTTATTATAATTGATTATAACTTAATTTTAAAAATGAATAATGATTTTTAAAGCAATTGTGTATAATATTAGACCACTTTGTCTTTAAAATCTCTCTCTCTCTCTCTCTCTCTATTGTTAATAATATGTTGAAACGACATGATTCTGCCCTTTGAAACACATTTTCTAAATACACTATATTTATGGACTACCGGTGCTCTCATGTGCTGTATTTTTTGGGAATTTATGACATTCTCTGGTTTTTGCAGAAATCTTTTAAAAGCTAAATGCTGTTCAAAAACCAAAATTTCTCGGCTTTACGTTTGTTTTTCATGTTTCAAAAACAAGAACCGAAAGATATATAATCTAAATCTCAAAATAAACTTTATGTTCAATTAAAGTAATTTAATTTAAAACTTTTCTATTAAACGCTAAACTCATGAAAATCCATATGAAATAAATTTAAATTAAGTAGACTTTAATAGTCAGTGATTACCGCAAATAAACAAAATTGCTTTCAATGAATCATTTTATAACATATTTTGATTAAAATATTTTAAAATTAATTATTCGTTAACTGAAATGGAGAGCTAAATGGGTGTACAGTATATGTCGGGCCATAACTATGTTTTACTTGTTATAAAAATTCAATAAATTTTCTAAATATTTATAATAAATGTTAAAATTGTTTATATCTATCATAAGCGCAACGAATGTTCCGATGTTTAACATATTAAATGCAATTTATAAAAACATTTTTATGCATATTATACAAGATAAACATGATTATTTAAAATATTAATATAAAGTATATTAAATTATAAGCCAATAGATTGTGGACACCGTATAAAACGTGGCAAAACACCGATGGTTTGGATAATGGCTGCAATCACTTATATTAAAAGCTATATCTTAGGCTTAGGTTTTATTTGTATTTTTCTCATTTACAAAATATCTAAACAACAAATACAGGAAACATTAGATGTTATGTTATATACTTGTATATCGATTGCAATCAAAGCACAAGAATCGGTAAATTAATGTCCACAACGAAACTGAGAGACCATTTCTCGCTTTTTACTTAAAAGCAAAGTATTATTTATTTAATGTCAGAGAAAGTATTGGTAAAAGTTTTTGCAAACGCTTTTATCCGAACCACTGATTCTGTGATCGATGGCTGACATTGAAAAACATTTCTAGAGATTTATTTCATTACATTTTAAATATTATATAAATAGTGTTTAAACATAATATTTATCTATAAATTTGAGAATCACTCCACAATTACACACACTATTAGTGCAAAAAAATATGCACTTTTTAACTATAAATACACCGCTGTTTGGCTCTGATATGTATAAAAATCTCTAGATTTATATTTAAAAGTTGTTTTGCTAACGAAAATACAAATCAAAATAAATAAAAGTATTAAAACTTTGAGTCTGTGTTTGAGAAAGTCGATCATAACAGTGGTGTTTACTTATGTGTGTCATATGTAGTGTTGGCCAAAAAGAAATTTCTTAGAAATTTCTCGGTAGAAATTTCTAGAAATTTCTCCTGAACAAATTTCTCGGAGAAATTTAATCAAAACATTGAATAATTAAGTTAATAAACTTAGAAACAAAATATGTGCAATTAAATGTGTGTTTATTAACTACTAATGCATGCACTGAAATGATAAAACACACAAAAATACATAAAATTGACTCAAATACCATAGAAAGACCCAAAAAATAACGTAATAATTAACTCGTGTAATTTATGTGAAGCCTTAAATTGTATTCATGTGTATTGTAATAAGACCCATTGGATTACGTGGGGTTCCCATAGGACACCAAATGATGCGATTTCTTAAATAAAATAAAGCCATAATTAGAAGCAAAATAGAGTGTCCAGAATGTTAAACATGACTATAAGATTAG